CTAAAGGGTCTGACATATACTAGCGCTAAACAAGAGTAGATACCCCCTTCTCATTTCTAACTTCCACTGCTTACTGCACTGCCATTTAGGAGGTTAAGGGAGAGGCCACACCTTGAGTGGATCATTGAGGGACTGGCAGAGCCTCGCTGCCCAGGGAGCCAGTAGAATAAGTCTGCAGTAACCAAGAACCTGGGACTTTCCTGGTGGCTCACTTGGTAAAGAATCCACCTGCCAATGCAGGAGACCCAGGTTTGATCCCTGGGTCAGGAAGATCCCCTGGAGAAGGAAATGGCAATCCACTCCAGTATTCTTGCCTGGAAAACCCCATGGACAGAGCAGCCTGGCAGACTACTGTCTATGGGGTTGCAAGAGTCGGACACAACTTAGTGGCTAACCTACCACCCACCAACCAAGAACCTGCTGAAGGCAACCAGGGACCCACAACTGGGTTTTCACCCACCACCTGCTCTTGGACCAAGATAAAGGCCATTTGAGCTGCTGGCTGGGACAAGCCTGCGTGCCTCACCCAGGCAGCCCCTCCAGGAGGGGCCCAGGCTGAAACAAGCAGACGCACTTCTTCTCGGAGTCGTTGTGGAAGACGACATACTCAAAGCCGAGTCTCTCCATCTCTGTGATCCGGAGAAAGAGGCGGGCGTCTTCTACCTTTTGAACTGGAGAGAAGAGTGGATTCAATAAGAAAGACCTCAGGCAGGAGTCTGATCCTCAGGGTGGTGTGGTCTCCAGGGCTGAAAGCACCCAACCAGAGGATGTCCCGGGAAAGCCACCGCCCTCAGCTTCCCCTGGGCACGCCACCCCGGGCATGGGCCCATAAACTTCTGACGGAGAAGAGCAGCCTCCAAGGGGAGGATGAGGTCAGCAGTGTGAGGGGCAGTGAGGAGCCAACTGCCTGTGAATTCAGGACACCACTGTTCCCATCAGTTGAGTAACAAACGCTAATCCGAATGCATCGATTGTGGCAGATCTAGGCGTAAGCAGGCCACAGTCCTTTTTGTAGAATACGTGTATGTGTCTCCTCTCACTGCCACAGGCCTGAACTTTCAGTGAGATTTGTTTATACTGTATGACTTCTGAGGGAAATGGGGATAATTTAGAGGCCCTAATTAGAGGTTAAGCTTCCAATATCCAAAACTTAAGGACTTCCCTGAAGCTCAAAGGGTAAAGAATCTGCCTGCGATGCAGGAGACCAGGGTTCGATCCGTGGGTCCAGAAGATCCTCTGGAGAAGGGAATGGCAATCCACTCCAGTATTCTTGCCTGGAGAATTCCTTGGACAGAGAAGCCTGGCAGGCTATACAGATCATGGGGTTGCAAAGAGTCAGACACAACTGAGCGACTAACACAGCACATCCAATACTTTATCAAACACCTTCATTTTGCCAAGAATATCAAACCAGAATTTCTTTTCTTTCTTTCTTTTTTTTTTTGGCAGCATGGCTTATGAACTCTTAGTTCCCTGACCAGGGATTGAACCCATGCCTTCGGCAGTGAAAAGGCAGAGTCCCAGTCACTGGGCCACCAGGGAATTCCCCTCAAAGCAGAATTCTGAATGACAGCTTAGGTATACAAAATTATATACTACAAACACAGCATATAATTATAAACTATAAACAAAAGTCTTCCGGCTGGCTCCTCCTGTCTTTCAAACGCATCTCTTCATCTTCTGTTTTCCATCCAATGTCCTTCACTGACTGGTTCAAGAGCTCAGCTCAGCTGACCACTAGAGGGAGCGCGAGTTCTTTCCCCAGCAGATTCTGGCTCCTGGCCCTGGATTTCAGTAAGATCCTGCCCTCTGTAGCATCACTGAGCTGCCCAAACTGGGTGTACCAGGGTGAAGGCACTGGCCCTTAATCCCAGGCACTGCCTCTTTCCAATTCCTCACTGACATTGCACCCCTCTGGTCTACAGGAGATGGTGGGGCTGGCAGGTGGAAGGAGACGCCAGGGGTGACCGCAGACAGGGGTGGAGAGAGCAGTGACCCGGGAGCCAGGATTCCCTGACTCCAGTCCAGTCTCTGCCAAAAGCTCGCTTTGTTGCCTCTCTAGCCCTCAGTTTTCTCGCTTGTAAAATGAGCAGGTTGAACCAGACGGCCTCCACGTCCCTTTTCTAGCCTGACAGTGTATGAATCTAGGATCACCATGTCCAGACTGCCTCATACCTGACTCTCAGGCTAATGCCTGCCACGCAGGAGGTGTGGGAACTGGGCTGGAACATGGAGCTCCCTGAGGAAAATGCACACACAGCAGAAAAGTTTTGCCCACAGTCCTGCACTCTCCAGAGGCCCCCTCCAGCCCAGGTGAAGCGCTCCTAATACAGGGGTGTGAACGTACCAGGGACAACTTTAGTGATCCTAGCTAGGTCTCCCTCTTTAAGGAACTGCCAAGAGTGACAGTAACTGGGAAGTCGCATCCACATCCCATCCACAGTCTTCTCCATGAATTCATTGTACAGCCTCAGCATGATGGGGCTCCAGCTGGAGTTCGGGAAGGAATAATCCTTTGAATCAGAATGGAGATGACTTCTTGAGGCCTGGGAAGTTCAAAAGGTAGCTGACTGTGTCCGCTCCTACAGGGCCGGCACAGCTGAAAGAAAACTTGGGATGGGGGAGGATTCAGGCCCGGGACTCATGCAGCCAGAAGTGACCTTGGGGAGTCAGGGGGCAGGAATCAAACCCAAGACCCAGGAGGCCAGAGGGGACCCTGAGGGGTGGGGGTTCAGACCTGTGACTACAGCAGACTTGCTGGGGCCCAAGTGGGCAGGGAAGAAGCTGGTCACATTTTCTGATGATCCTCCAGTCCCCCGAAGGCACCATTCGATTCTGCTGATCCCCTCGCTATGAGTAGGCCCCATCCTCTTCCCTATCCCAGCCCCCATGAGGGCCATCCCGCCTCCACTTTCCTTCCTTTCCTCCTGTCCTTCCGCGTCCTACCCCGTCGTGTGGGGATTCCGCTCATCTGCTTAGGTGTCCAGGGACCCCCACCAGTGCCTAGTAGGTGCTCCTACTTATGAGCAGACACGAACTCCTTGTCCTCCCACTCCATCATCTTTACTCTTACCCACAATTTTCTTTTAGTTACACCTCCTTTTTTGTCCAGAAAATGTTATGTGAAACAGTAATCACTGCTTTCCCTTGAGTTGCCACTAATCAGATTCCCTTTCCCTGATTCTGCTCCCTTGCTCACTCTGGGGCTCGGCAACCCCACTTAACCGTATGGGAAAGGTTCAGCAGGGTCAGGAGACTGGAGGAGCCTCCAGATACTGTCACTAAGTTCCCAGGCGGAGGGTCCACCCCTCCGTACAGGATGAAACGGCCAAGTGGCATGAGCATCTTCCAGACATCAGGAGTCCTGGCTCCGAGTTCTCATCTGTCACAGGAGTCTAAGGTCCCTGGTAGCCCCCTCCCTCTGAGACTCTGACCACACTCACAGCGGCCCGCATCTGGATGCAACGTGGGTACTCACGGTGATGAGTGGGGCTGGCATCCAGGCTGACCAGAGCATCCGGGGCTGGCCAGCCAGGGCTGGGAGAAGGCGTGCTGCCTGTCGGTGCCTCGCCAGACACCTGAGACCTCTCTGCAGCATGATGTCCAACCGAGACGGGCCAACTGAACCTTCTTCCAAAGGCAAGCCTTCCTCCTGGTAGTTAAGCACAGACCTGAGGCTCAGACTCAGCCAATCAGAGCCTGTGTGGTCCTCTGAGGGCCTGGCCACCCCACATCCCTTTCCTGCATCAGGCCAAGCAGTGCGGAGAGGAAAGGACGTTGGGCAATTGTGGGTTAGTAAGTTACACGTGCATTTGATCTGGGGAGTTGCCAGATGTATTTTTGGCTGTGTGCCTGGAACAACTGAGTCAATCAGAATTTTTTGCAGGCCAGGTTCACCGGGATGGAAAAATGATAATCAGGAGCCAGAGTGGATAACCTCAGTCTCTGCGTGTAAGGGCAGATGGCTTTGATACCTCACCCTGGTTCTTAACCGTGTCTTATTTCAGAGGCCAGTTCATTTATTCATCTGACAAATGTTAATTAGGCACATACTATGTGCCAGGAACTGTTCCAGACTCTGGGGGCACAGGAGTGAATAAAACAGATGAAGTCGATGACCTCATGGGGTTTATGACCTAAGTAGGTAGTTAACAAGTAACATTAATTATTGCACTTTCTACCCCCAGCTGCTGTCCTACCTGTTTCTCTGTTTTCTCAATTTTAATACTTAATGTTATCTCATAAACAGCCCAAATTAAAAGTTCACCAATCATCCCCAAACTGTCTGTCAGAGCATTCCCCCTCCACCAACCCAGAATCCAATTTAAGATAATTTATTTCAGTTAATTGTTATGTCTTTAGCCTCCTTTAATCTGGAACAGTTTTTCAGCTTTTCCTTGACACATTCTTAACATACCACACACACACATACACCAGATACACGCAGGAATGAGCTCCCATTCTTTCCACCCTGCTTTAGGGGACTCTTGTTACTCCCAGTGAGTGAACGGTAGGTGGCGTTAGAACACAGCTTCATAACCTTGCATAACCATCCCACAGATGTCAGAGGTATGCATTATTGCTATTAATATCTGCATTTACATATAAAGACACTGAAGCACAGAACAGTTAGAGTACACCACCCAAAACTGCACAGCTAGTAAAATGTTACATGCTGTGCATTTTTATTATAGTAATAATAATTAAACTTTTATGTGTACAAAGATGTTTATAGGCTATAGGTGGGACATCGGTCTATGGAGCAGGCAAGACAGAAAGCATCATCATCAACATCTTCAACTTTGTCTTACACGTGTCTGCCTTGACATGCAGAGATGCTACCTCAGGCCAGCTTGTAAGTGAGGAGCAGGGTCTAGGACAGGAAATCCAAGGTGACCCTTGCAATGTCCTGAGCAAGGCCAGCATGGTTCAAGATCTGAGGCACTTCCCACATCACAAGTGTTGCAGGTCAGTATCTCTCATGAACACAGATACAAAAATCCCAAGAGAATCCAATGCTTTATTGTTAAAATGATCATAAACATGAGGTCATTTTTTCTAGGGAAAACAGGTTGATTTAAAATAAGAAAATCTATCAATATAGTTCATGAAATTAACAGAATAATGGAGGAAAGCAACATGATCACCTCAGTAGATAAGGAGAAAGCATTTGACAAAATTTAAGCTGGTGTTTGATAAAGATACTCCAAAACCTGGGGGGTGGGGGGCAGAATCCCTATAGCTAACACAGTGAAACATATAGACTATTTTCAGAAAATAGTGACAAAGTCTTTGAAAGTTGACAGGGTTGACTTGCAATAATAGTAATTCACTGAATACCATGAAAGAAGTCTTGTGTCTGTAGCTAGCTTTCTAGGAGTCTCCCTTCAATGTAGCCTCCAACTCCAGCGTGAATCGTTTCTGTTTCAAGCCGGTGGGTGATGGAGGCAGAGGGATGCTCTGCCCTGCACAGACTCACAGAATGTAGTCTATGGTGGAGGAGCGAGTGGAGTGCTGATTCGAGGATGATTTTTCCAAGGCCTCCCTAGACACCTGTCTCCCTACGTAGATGAAGATGTGGCTGCAACTTTTCCGAAATAGTTCTGATAAGTGTTTCTTGAACTTCTCACCCATGAACGCATAGATAATAGGGTTCACACAGCAGTGGGTGAAGGAAATGGTTTCTGTGACATGCGTGGCGTAGATCAGCTGCTGGTTCATGACACATCCATCCAAGATGTGCATGTCATGCAGGGAAGTGAGGAAGAGGACCATGTTGAAAGGGACCCAGAAGAGTAGGGAGGCAACCACCACTATGAGCACGAGCTTGATGGCCTTGGTCTTGTTGTGGTTCTGGCAGCCCTTCAGCTGGTGCAGGATGTTGATATAGCAGAACATCAGGATGCTGAACGGGATCAGCAGGCCTAAGATATTCACTTCAAAGTGGATGAAGATCTTCCACTTCAGCGTCTGCTGATTGTAATACGTGTAACACTGTAGGATGCCATTTTCGGAGGCCACTTGGTAAAATACTAGTAACGGGCTAGTGGCCACGAGGGCAGTCAGCCACACCACCAGACTCAGGGCTGTGCCCATGCGGATCGTCCTCACTTTCAAGGCATACACAGCATGGACCACTGCCAGGTACCTGTCCACACTCATGAGGGTTATAAAGAACATGCTGCTGAAGAAGCTGATGTAATAAAAACCAGAGACCACCTTGCACATGATGGTCCCAAATACCCACTGGTCCAGCTGATAGTGGGTCTGGAAGGGGAAGGAGAAGACAAAAAGCAGGTCAGACAGGGCCAGGTTCAAGAGGTATACGTCCGTGATGCTCCTCAGTTTCTTGCAGGCGACAAGGACTAGGATGACCAGGCTGTTGCCCAGAAGACCAAATACAAACAGGATGCAGTAGAAGACGGCAAGAAGCAGCTTGCTGTCTCTCCCCTCCCCATCGCAGGGGCTCGAGTAGATATCAGGATAGTAGAAGTCAGTTACTGTTGTCAAATTGGGCTCAGGTGTGTAATCCATCAAGGCAGGAGGAGGCCAGCCACAGAGGCACCTAAGAGACATTCCTTTCTTAGCGATATTTTGTATTTAAAAACACGGACTGAACTGTGCCCCACACCTCCCCACCAAGTTCATATGCTGAAGCCCTAAAGGCCTGTTATGGACTAAATGTGTCCTTCCAAAATTTGTGTGTTGAAACCTTACCCCTATTGTGATGGTATCAGGAGGTGGAGTCTTTGGAAAGTGATCGAATTAGGTGAGGTCAGGAGGGTGGAGGGCTTCCCAGGTGGTGCCAGTGTAAAGAACCTGCTGGCTGGTACAGGTAGATGTAAGAGACACAGGTTCTATCCCTGGGTCGGGAAGATCCCCTGGAGGAGGGCATGGCAACCTACTCCAGTATTCTTGCTTGGAGAATCCCTTGGACAGAGGAGCCTGGAGAGCTACAGCCCATAAGGTCAAAACGAGTCAGACACGACTGAAGCAACTTAGCACACACACCCGCATGAGGGTGGAACCCTCATAAATGGGGTGAATGCCCTTATGAGAAGCACAGGAGAGCTTGCTTCCTCTCTCTGCTCTAGAGTGTGTGAGGATACAGTGAGAATTTGGCAGTTTGCAACCTGGAAGAGGGTTCTCACTAGAACCTGACTGCTTGGGTACCTTGATCCTGCACTTCCCAGACTCTAGAAGTGTGTAAATAAATTTTGTTGTTTGTCAGCCACCCAGTCTATGGCTGGCATTCTGTTTATTGGAGCCCAAACTGCTCCAGACACCCCCGGTGTCACTAAATTTGGAGACAGGCCATTATGGAGGTAACTTAGGTTAAAGGAGATCATCAGATGGGGCCCTAAGTCCAACTGGACTGGTGTCCTTGTAAGACAACAATGAAGTGTGAAGGCAACCCTAGAGGCTCTCAGTAGAAATCCAATTTGTCAGCATCTTGCTCTTGGACTTCTAGCCCCAGAATTGTGAGAAAATAAGCTCCTGTCATTTAAGCCACCTGGCATTTTGTGATGGCAGCTTAAATAGAATAATAATACAGGGGCTATATGGAACCTCTCTGGGGCTTCCCCCGTGGCTCAGTTGGTAAAGTATCTGCCTGCAATGCAGGTGACCTGGGTTCAATCCCTGGGTCAGGAAGATCCCCTGGAGAAGGAAATGGCAACTCCAGTATTCTTGCCTGGGAAATCCCATGGACAGAGGAGCCTGGTGGGCTATATAGTCCATGGGGTTGCAAAGAGTCAAACAAGACTTAGTGACTAAATCACCACCACTGCCTCCACCATGGGACCTCTCTGCCTTTTCTACGCAAGTGTTCTGTAAACTTAAAACTTCTCTGGAAAGTAAAGCCTATTTGCATTTTAAAAAGTTGAAAACTGCCCAGGCTAACTAATACAGAGGGATTTGGCGGGATAAGAAAAGCCAAAATTTGCCAAGAAAACTTAAATACCTATAGTTCTACCTCTCAGAATTAGCAACTGCCAGCATATTGCCATATTTGCTTTTGATTCTTTTCCTTTCCCCCCTTTCCTTCCTTCTGCAACAGAGATAACCAAAGTGAAGGGAAGATTCAACATTTAAAACATGATCTTTCTCCTCAAACTGATATTGACATTCAAGGCAATTTTGATCTAGACTTACGATTTTTCCAAGGCATTTGATTATTGGACACTCAGACATCCCTCTCCACCATGCCACATTTCTATAATTTGAAATGCGAAGCAAGTTAGCCATTTTTAAAGATACTAATTTCACTTAAGTATTTACACAAAATAGATTTCAAGACAGTTTCTGAAGTATGGAGGTGGGTCTCTTTTTTATGTGGCCAGCATCTTTCAAAACAGGAGTCTCCCCTCCTACATCTTCCTCCCCACTTGTCTTTTACAGTCACTTTAAAAAAACAATTTTCCATTCATGGTCCTTCTGTTCTGCTCTCCTAATATCCTGGGATAAGAGGAAGTCTTCAACTCATTTTCTTCCCTAGATCCTTCCTATCCACTCCACACTCCCCACCATGTTCCTTCATCATTAAAATCTGTGGAAAGTATTAGCGAGCCCTACCATTTATCACAGTGCACCAAGAATTTTGCATGCATCACCTCATTTACTCCTCTTGCATCCCTGAGAAGCAGGCACTAACCTCTCCTTTCTCTTTCTGGAGTTACAATCATACCTGAATCTCAGCTTTTGTCCAGCACCTGAAGTTACACAAAGGGTGAGGCAACAGAGCCAGGACTCAAAAACCACATCTGTCTTCTCCAAATCCTTGTTCTTTTCTGTACTTCATTGTGGGTTTAAAAAAAAAAAAAGAATTAAAAAAGCTACAATCTTTTAGAATCTAGACCATCTAACTTCCAAGTTCTAGATTACTTTGTAGCAGAGTAAACTTGGACTTGCTTTTCAAACTGAAAAGGAGGCTTTTCCATTTGTGAGAAGGAGGCCAAGAAGGCTTTTCAGGGTTTGGTGGGATATGCCTGTGGTCATTTAAGTTAGCATCTAGTCAGGGATGAAATCTGCTTGCCAGCTTTGTTCCTTGAGAACAATACCTACGTGCCTTCCCGTCATAGACGCAATGCACACAGCGTAAGGACAGATTCCTCCCCAGATGCCTGGGGATAGGTGGAATCTTCTGCTATCCACCTTCCCACTCTTGGAGGAGCTTTGACACCCTCCTAGCATCCTGCATAGAAAAATGGCATGGCTTGCTTTTCTCCACTAGACCACTGTGGACAGGCCCTGAGACATAAGTGGGGTTTGTAAACACTGGGGATAGGCAAAGAGAAGAGTCACCTCTTGTGCCAGATTTCTGAAATCCCGGCCTCTCCCCCAAGGACATAAAACTCTCCTTGCTTCTTCCGTCTTTCTTTCCCAAGGATGTTTGTTAGTACCTACCTTAATTGGAGCCTTCCTTCGGAGGTTTTCAGTGTTGCTAGTTTGTCTCAGTCTGCCCTGCTGGGTGTCTGCAGCTGAGTGGAAAACAGCTCCTCTGTGGGTATCTCATCTGTCTGTGGTCGGTGGCAAAATAGGGGTGGGTCTACTGCTGCTCCCCACAATGATTTTTAAAGTTAAAAAAAAATTGATCTCATGTAGAGAACATACTAGTGGTTACCAGTGGGGAGAGGGAGGGGCAATGTAGAGGTAGAGAATTAAGAGGTAGGAACTATTAGGTATTAAATAAGCTACAAGGATATATTAATAATAAGGGAACAGGGACAATATTTTATAATAACTATAACTGGAGTCTAACTTTTAAAAATTGTGAATCACTTTAGTGTACACCCATGATATGTAATACTGTATATACTGTACATATGTAATGTTGTACATCAACTATATTTCAATTTTTTTAAATGCTTAAAAATTATATATAGTGACAATGCTAAAACAAAACACTATAACCAAAAAACCCCAAAATTTCAAAAATAGATCTCACCAAAGAACACATACAGATGGAAGATTAGCATATGAAAAAACATGAGGGAACTGTATATTAAAGCAACAGTGAATTATCACAATACACTTGTTAGAATGGCTAAAATCAAAACACCAAATACTGGAGAGGAAGAAGATTAAGGGACTTCCCTGGTGGTCCAGTGCCTAAGACTCCATGGTCCCAGTGCAAGGGCCTGGGTTCAATCCCTGGTCAGGGAACTAGATCCCACATGTGGCAACTAAGAGTTCGCACACCACAACCAAAGATCCTGCACTCTACAGCAGAGATTGAAGATCCTGCATGCTGCAACTAAGAGCTGGTGCAGTCAAATAAATAAATAAAAACAAATATTAAAAAAGATTAACAAGAGAAAAGCATATAAATTAATTATTTACAAAAAGATTAAGAGGTGTTCTCATTTATTGCTGGTGGAAATGCAAACTGGTACAACCACTATGGGAGACAGTTTGGTAATTTCTTGTAAAGCTAGAATAGGCTCACCATATAATCCAGTAATCATGCTCCTGATTTTTACTCAGATGAGTTGAAAACATATCCACACAAAAATCTGAGCACAAATATATATAGCAACTTTATTTATACTTGCCAAAAATGAGAATCCACCAAGATGTCCTTTGATAGATGAAAATGGATAAACAGGACTGTGGTAATGAACGCAAGGGCACGTTTTCCAGTGATCTTAAAAAACCAGCTATCAAGCCACAGACAGAAGCCTTAAAGTGAGGACTGCTAACTGAAAGGAGCCTGTCTAAAAAGACTACATGCTGTGTGACTCCAACTACAGGAGAACGTTTTGGAAAAGGCAAAATGACACAGACAGCAAATGAGCAGTGGTTGCCTTGGGGTGCAGTGGGATGGGGGGCTAATTCTTCCTATCCAAGGGCAGGAGATATTTTTCCATTTCTCTGAACCATCTTTAATTTCCTTCATCAATATTTTATAGTTTTCAGAGTATACGTCTTTCACCTTCTTGGTTAAGCTTATTCTTAGGGGTTTCTTTACTGTGATTTTTTAAAAATTTATTTTATTTATTAATTTTTTTGGCTGCGCCACTTGGCATATGGGATCCTAGTTCCCCAACCAGAGATCAAACCTGCACCCCCAGCAGTGGAAGCATGAAGTCTTAACCACTGGGTGACCAGGGAAATCCCTATGCAATCTTAAGTGGGATTTTTCTTTAAACTTCCTCTTTCTGATATTTCATTTTTATTTTTTTTTTTTCAATTAGCAATAATCGCACCTCGGATAAACCTCATTGGCTATGATACTGCCACTGCACAAAGCTTGATATTTCATTTTTAGTGTGAAGAAANCCCCCCAGAGGAAGAGAGGTGAAACCAGAGCTGTCTTTCCCACTACTGCTCCCCCTTCTGGAGGGATGTGGAAGTTCCTCGTGGAAACACAGGGAGCAAGCTAAGAATTCCCCCACACAGATGACATCGGTTTCACTGTTACACTTCAACTTCTTTCTTTAGATGCCATTTAGAAGGGCTATGTGTTCCTCTATGTCTCGCTTCCTGACCTCTAAGCCCATTCTCCTTTGTCTGCAATTTCATCTCATATAAGTAACTGATGGTATCCGAGTTCAAATCTAGGTAATTCCCCTCGCCCACATTATTCATAAGCTGACGTAGTTTGGGGAAAACCTCAGATCCTTTACATGAGTTTTGTCAGTGATAAGCAAAGATCAATGGTTCACAGATAGGGAGACTCGGGGGCTCACACTTACTGCTCATTCACATCACGAGGGCGGAAACCATGATACCTGCTTTACCTGAAGCTGTGGCCGTGGACCGCTCCCCGTCTCAGGCACAGGCCTCAGGGACTGGGTGGAATTCCCCCAAGACCAGCTTCCAGGTAGGGCTAGAATGATGGCACGAGACTTGGTGCAGACATCCTTGGGGCCAAGGGACGTTGAGGAGTGGGCAGGCCTCCATCCTGCCTGTTTCCTCCACTCCACAAAGCGGGGCCACTTGGTCGAGGCCAAGTTCAGCTGAGCCACCTGACTTGGGCAGAGGCAAGCCCAGTCAGTAGAGGTGTTTCTGCAGCTGATTTACACTCCCAAGCGTCCTTCCTGTGAGTTCCTTGAAATCCTGCCATTTACTGTTCCTTCCACCTGGTGGACTGAAGCTTTCCAATAAACTGAATGGTGGACGAGGCACTGTGAAGATGAGGGAGTCAGGTGAAGCACTGGGGAGAGGACCACACAACCTGGACCAAAGGACCGCCTCTTGCTGCAGTCCCTGGGCCATCACAGAGAGCTGGTGTGGGCTCCTGTAGACCTGTGTCTGCCCTTGCCATGTGTCCAAGTTTACTGAGGCTGCTGTAAAAAAAAAAAAAAATTAACGCAGACTTGGCAGCTTGAAACATCTCACACTTTTGGAGTTCGGATGACTGAGCTCCCTCCAGGGTCCTCAGAGAGAATCCTTCCTTGGCTCGTCTGGCTCCTGGTGGCAGCCCAGCAGTCCTGGGCCTGGGGTTACATCACACCAGTCTCTGCTTCTGTCTTTATATCGCTGTCTCCTCTGTGAGCTATGTGAAATCTCCCTCTGCTTCTATCTTATAAAGACTCTTGAGACCACATTTAGGTTCCATCTCAATAATTCATGATAATCTCTTTATCATAAGATCCTTGACCTAACCACATCTGCAAAGGCCCTTTTTCTAAATAAGGTTACATTTACAAATTCCAGGGATTAGGACTTGATATCTTTGGTTGGGGGCTTCCCTGGTAGCTCAGCTGCGAAAGAATCCACCTGCAATGCAGGAGACCCCAGTTCGATCCCTGGGTTGGGAAGATCCCCTGGAGGAGGATCTCCCAGTATTCTTGCCTGGAGAATCCCCATGGACAGAGGAGCCTGGTGGGCTACAGTCCGTGGGGTTGCAAAGAGCTGGACACGACTCAGCGACTAAGCACAGCACAGCATCTTTAAGTGGCTTTTATCCAAGCTACTACACCCCGGCTCTAAAGATGCAGACTGTGATGGAGTTAAAGAGAAGCCTCCATTCCTCATCTTGGACACAAGGCAGGGATCCCAGTATCCTAGAAGAAAGCAGCCAGAACCAGACTACACAGCCAAGGTCATGCAGGGCTCGAGAATCAATGCTTTCTCCAGGTCCATCTTCTGTTGCACAGAAACATTCACTAGATCCTGAAAGGAATATCCTCAGGGACAGGCTTCTTTTTTTTTTTTTTTTAAGAAAACCTCTTGACAAAGATATAAAATGCAATTTAGAATGGCTTTGTATTCCTCTGCATCTTGCTTCATGACTTCTAAATCCATTCTCCTTTGTCTGCAATCTCATCTCCTAGAAATATTTGCTGGTGTCTGAGTTCCTATCTGGAGAAGGAAATGGCAACCCACTCAAGTACTCTGCCTAGAGAATTGCGTGGACAGAGGAGCCTGGTGGGCTGTTGTCCATGGGGTCGCACAGAGTCAGACACGACTGAAGTGACTTAGCATGCACGCATGCACTGGAGAAGGAAATGGCAACCCACTCCAGTGTTCTTGCCTGGAGAATCCCAGGGACAGAGGAGCCTGGTGGGCTGCCGTCTATGGGGTCGCACAGAGTCAGACACGACTGAAGTGACTTAGCAGCAGCAGCAGAGTTCATATCTAGTTAATTCTTTAGGGCACAGAAGTGCTGGACTGCCTCTACCAGCAACAGTTCAGTTCAGCTCAGTTGCTCAGTCATGTCTGACCCTTTGCGACCTGATGGACTCCAGAACACCAGGCCTTCCTGTCCATCACCAACTCTCGGAGTTTACTCAAACTCATGTCCATTGAGTCGGTGATGCCATCCAACCATTTCATCATCAGTCATCCCCTTCTCCGCCTTCGATCTTTTCCAGCATCAGGGTCTTTTCAAATGAGTTAGCACTTCGAATCAGGTAGCCAAAGTAATGGAGTTTCAGCTTCAACATCAGTCCTTCCAATGAACACTCAGGAGTGATCTCCTCTAGGACGGACTGGTTGGATCTCCTTGCAGTCCAAGGGACTCTTCAAGAGTCTTCTCCAACACCATAGTTCAAAAGCATCAAGTCTTCAGTGCTCAGCTTTCTTTATAGTCCAACTCTCACATCCATACANAAGTTCTCGGTTCACATACTGTTGAAGTCTAGCTTGGAGAATTTTGAGCATTACTTTGCTAATGTTTGAGATGAGTGCAATTGTGCAGTAGTTTGAATATTCTTTGGCATTGCCTTTCTTTGGGACTGGAATGAAAACTGACCTTTTCCAGTCCTGTGGCCACTGCTAAGTTTTCCAAATTTTGCTGGCATATTGCATGCAGCACTTTCACAGTATCATCTTTTAGGATTTGAAACAGCTCAGCTGGAATTCCATCACCTCCACTAGCTTTGTTCAAAGTGATGCTTCCTAAGGCCTGCTTGACTTTGCACTCCAGAATGTCTGGCTCTAGGTGAGTGATCACACCGTCATGGTTATCTGGGTCATGAAGATCTCTTTTGTATAGTTCCTCTGTGTATTGCCACCTCTTCTTAATATTTTCTGCTTCTGTTAGGCCCATACCATTTCTGTCCTTTATTGTGCCTATCTTTGATGAAATGCTCCCTTGGTATCTCTAATTTTCTCAAAGCAATCCCTAGTCTTTCCCATTCTATTGTTTTCTTCTATTTCTTTGTATTGATCACTGAGGAAGGCTTTCTTATCTCTCTTTGCTATTCTTTGGAACTCTGCATTCAAATGGGTATATCTTTCCTTTCCTCCTTTGCTTTTCGCTTCTCTTCTTTTCACAGCTATTGTAAGGCCTCCTCAATCATTTTGCTTTTTTGCATTTCTTTTTCTTGGGGATGGCCCTGATCACTGCCTCCTGTACAATGTCACGAACCTCCATTCATAGTTCTTCAGGTACTCTATCAGATCTAGTCCCTTGAATCTATTTCCCACTTCCACTGTATAATAGTAAGGGATTTGATTTAGGTCATACCTAAATATAGATTCACATAGATTACCTCCCCACAAAGCTACAATAAGCAGACTTTTTTGTTACTGCTAAATATTTATTTCCTGTATAAGAGTGGTCAGGAACATCGCCTGCATACAATCAAAGGTATGACCACAATACTGCTTTGAAGGGTTGAACATGGAGAAAAATGTGTGGCTTACAGTATAATATTTGTATTTTTAGCTGTATTTTCCGGAAACTTATGCTATATTGTATGCAAGAACTGATAAGACCTCTTAGTCTTTTACTTGGTTCTTTATTCCTAGAATTTGTCTTCTACTAACATTTTTTTTTTCAAGGCTGCAAACACTGAGGACTAAGCATATTCCCAGCACTACTCCAGTCATTAGAAGAGATATAAAGATGAAATTATATATTATACTCCCCTTTAAGGAGTTTAGCAAGCAATGGCACTTTCATCACAGAAGTTCTAGGAGGTAAATGGATCTCTAAAGAATGATGAATAATGAAAGGAAGAACTCATATGAAAACTATGTAGAAACCCAGAAAAATCTTTATGATGAGAAAAGCAGATTAAGGTGGTATGTATGGTACAATTGTCAAGACACGGATGCATGGGATCGCATTCTGGAATGGAATAGGCAGAAATTCAAAGTCAGATGTTAGACTGCTCCTCTTTATTTTGAAAGTTTTCTTTAATAATGATATGGTATCTTTTCAAAAACAAGTTTTTAGGAAACAGAAAATGGCTATCACTGATAAATGCAAAGCAGAGAGGTTTCCATTTTGTAAATAACTTACTAACTATAGATTAAATTACTAATCCACTTGGAATTCTCTCCCAGTGACAAAGAGAATCTACATGACAAAAAGTGGTGTACAAGGGATGTCTGAGTTTATCATTATTAAGCGTATGTTGGGGAGAAAACTATTTTCCTCTAGTTTCTTAGCTCAGTAACTAAAGGTCTGTGAATTAAACTAACAAAAGGCAAATTAAGAGAAAAGACATAATTTTTATTGAGAATATGTTTAGGTGCACAGGTGTTCACAGAAAAGGGGTGAAACTCAAAAAAGCAGTTAGGCTTGGAGGCTTATGTACCATTTCAATGAAGGAAAGGAAGTTTGGGCTTCCAGGGATGATAAACTATGATGAAGTTACAAGGAAATACATGAGTGAACTAAAGGAAAATAAGGGCTACTTTAATAAGTTCTGTTTATGCAAACTAAACTTGGTGTCAGCTTCTCATCTTTGATAATGAGAATCAGTTGTTCTGGTACAGGGCGGGCACCTTTCTCAGAGGGAAATGTATGCCCTGCTTCTGGTACCCAAGGGAAGGGCAAAGAACTCTTCCTTTGTTGACTGATTCTCAGTTGCCTGTAGCTGAAAATAATCCTTATACCAAAGTGGCATATTTGGGGGTGACATATTTGACTTCACATCGTGATGATAGCTCCATTCTGGAGCACCCCTCCGGGGCCAGCCATAGCTTACATGCTTGGCCCTGGTTGGGTTATGGGAGCACCCCGAGCTCCTTTTTCAAGTGTCAGTGGCCTGAGGTTGAGTCTGCCCCAGAACTGAGTACTCGCCCTCACGCAGTGGGCATTTCCACTGCTGGCGAAACTTGTGCTCACGCTGTGTTGTCTTATGGTGGGTGCCTCTGCATCTCTGCCCCTATGTTTATTGCCCATTCTATTGGTTCCAGCTTCTGCAGGAGGAGCCTAGGAACTGAGATGTTTGCCAAAGACCGGCTGCTTTGGCACTCATGGGCATATGGAGAACTCTTAAGGGGAAGCTAGGAGGACTTCTTCCCCTGCCCCAGGAAAAGTACTCCCGAGTTAAGAGTGAAGGTAGACTGTTAAGATGCTTCTCTCTTTCTCTCCTGATACCATTCATCCCTGTTTCCTGCATAGAAGAATAATTTACAAAATAATGCATTATTTCTCTTATTTTTTCCCCTGGCATTAAAGTTTGGTTTAGCATATCCATTTTGGAACCAGGCTGGGGACACCTCTATTTTAGTTTCTTGATAAGCAAAGACATGGTAACATCCATATGATCTCCACCAACCTCTGTCTTCTTTTTAGCTACTCTCAGGTCCCCAGAGGCCACAGCTCCTAAAAGAGGCCCCGAACCTGCCACACCAACATTTCACTTATACTAAATTCGATTCCCAGATCAACCTTACGGGTATTTTGGACAACTTTCCCAAGATCCACATGGCTCCTATGAGGCAGGACTGGTCCCAGTCCCGGTTGCACCATCCAGGTGGACACCAGTGCCCCTTCTCTTACCTCCATCATTCTTCTTCAGAAACAGAGTGAGCTACCCAAAACCATCAGGGCAGTCAGAATCAACTTCCTTCGCCTCTGGGCTGCCAGAAACCCTCGTTTCTCACTGTAGATCTTGTCCATGTCCACCCTTGTATTCTTTGGACTCTACACACATCTTGCCTTTTTTGGGCGGTCTCTACTCACTACATCCACGGCAGTGCCTGGAAAGAAGAGGCAGTTCTCAGAAAAGGCCAGATGAATTAAGACCCTACAGCTTAGAACCAAGAAGACAAATGCCACCTTCTCTTCTGATCAGCTTTTGTCAGGGTCACATCCCAGGGAATTTGCGGCACCTAGAGGCTTTCACACAGACCCGAGTGAATCCCAACCCTGCTGCTTCTTTGCTGGGTGACCTTGAATGTTTTATTTCACCTCTGTAGCCTTCATCTTTCTCATCTGCACATGTGGAGTGATGAGCCCTTTCTTAAAGGGTTAAAAAGCGATTTCCTCTGAAGACATCTAGCACCAAGAATGTGTTAATAAAGACACTATATTCTAACCACCAAAGTGATCCTTATCATTTTACCTTTGTGGTTTTCCATTTGCTAGGTATGAAAGTATTTCTTTAAACTGATTGTGTTGAAATAATATCAAGAAAGGTTGCAAGAATATAACAAAACTGCTATATTCTTCTCCAAGATTCGCCAACTGTTAACATTTTGAAACACTTGTGCTAGCTCTCTCTCTCTCTCTCTCTCTCTCTCTCTATATATATATATATATATATATACATATATATATACACACATATATATGTGATATATAGATATTTTTTCTAAATCAGCTGAAAATTTTGGCATCACATTCCTTTATGCATAAACCCTGCAGTGTGAACTTCTAAAAAAACAAGGACATTCTCTTACGTCACCTTGGCACCATTATCAAGATCAAGAAATTTAACAGTAACACAGTATTACTCTCTAAGAAGTCTGTTTTGCAATCTCACCAATTGTCAGATGATGTCAGGTGGCGATGATGTCAGGTGATGACCTTTATAATACTTATCATCCCCTGGTTCAGGATCCAATCCAGGGTGGTGCATGGATTGTACTGTCAAGTCCTTTTACTCATCTTTGATCAGAAACTGTGCCTCTTCTTCTGGTTTTTAAGACACTGACATTTTTTAGAAAAATACAGACCAGTTATTTTTCAGAATGTCCTTCAGTTTGGATTTGTCTGATAATTCTCTGTGATTAGGTCCAGGTTAAATATTTTCGGCAGGAACACTACAGAAATGATGAGTCCTTCTCAGGGAATACATGATGTCCATTAGTCTCAGCATTGGAGATATTAATATTGTCCATTTCATTCAACTCTGCCAGTAGGAAGGTTGCTATTTTTGTTATTAATAAGCCATTTATGAGAGATATTTTGAGACCATGTAGATATCCCATTTCCCATCAAACTCTCAGGGCTACTGTTCTGGAAGCTTTTGTGGATAAACTTCTCTCAAAGATGAAACACTGAAGAAGGTCTGTACTGCCTTGGTTCAAGAGGCATGAATACTCATTTTCACCAGTTTCCTGTGAGGGAGCCTGCGGTTAATGACTCGGGGAGGGGTGGCTGAGCTGGAGCCTTGTGGTCCAGGAGTTCTCCATCCTGCACCAGCACCAGCACGAGGGCGGGACGGGCGAGGAGCCTCCCGCTGCAAAGTGGAGGCGAGCGAGAGACAACCCAAGGCTACAGGGCAGAGTGGGCCTCAGGTTCACAAAGGCAGAGGTTCTCTTCCTCTGCCCCTACCAGCATGCTCTCCACCCATTCCTTCTGAGTATGTGAGACTCATCTAGTCTGGGCATCACCGAAGCATCCCAGGAGGGTTACTGTGACAGCCTTGTTTCATTCCTCTGACTGGGGAACGCCGGAGCTAAGATCTTGTTGTGTGAACAAGGAGGAAATCAAATTTGCAGTTTTCCAAACAGTATGGGAGAACCTGGGAGTCAAAAATCATTAGAAATGGAGGGTGTCAAGAGTTTATCTTAGCATTCATAGCCTTTCAGGGAACTAGCATCATCACTCCAAGAGTTCCAGACCAGAGCAGTGGTATAGGTTTGCTGTAACTGGGAGCTGGATCTCCAGTTCTGGTTTGACTCTGACCCTATTGTGCAGTTGTCTAAATACACCTTGTTCTTTGAGGCCATTTTCTTTCATTTTGTGAAAAAAAAAAGTTATTAGAGCAACCTCCCCCCTCAAATATAGGCCAACCCCACTAATGAAGACTGAGGTGAAAACTCTAAAAAACAATAGCACATGGAATGAAGCAACATACAATTTGTACATCTTGACCAAGTTGGATTTATCCCAGGAAAGAGAGGCTCCTTTTTCACAAGGAAAAATGAGAAGTGTGATTCACCACATTAACAGATTAATGGGGGGAAAAAATCTTCTGAGCACATGGTCATCTCAAAAGATGCAGGAAAACTGATAAAATTCAGCATGTATAAGGAGCAAATGAAACTCTCCAACTCTGCTGGTGGGAGTGGAAATGGTTGCAATCACCTTGGAAAATAATGTGGCATTTTCCTACTAAAGTGAAGCATGCACATTTTCAATGATTTACCAATACTACTCTGAGGTATATATCAAACACAAAAGTATATATTTCACTAAAGACATGTATTAGTATATTAACAGCAGAACAATTCATAATAGACGTACAGGAAACTACCCAAATGCCCATCAAACATAGGATAAATAGATTCCAGTATATTCACACAACAGCATACATTTCAGTGCTGAGAATAAATGATCTACAATTGTACAAAATAGTATAGGTGAAGATACTAACATAACATTGCACAGAAGCAGCCAGACACAAGGCTTCCCTGGTGGTCCAGTGGTTAAGAATTCACCTTGCAATGCAGTGGACATTGGTTTGACCCCTGGTCCAGGAGGATCCCATATGCCATGGAGCAACTAAGCCTGCAAGCCTCAATTCCTGAGCCCATGTGCAGCAACTACTGAAGCCCATGTCCTCAGGAGCCTGTGCTCATAATAGAAGCCACTGCAGTGAGATGCCTGCACACTGCAACTAGAGAGTGGCCCCCGCTGGCTGCAACTAGAGAAAGCCAAGTGCAGCAATGAAGACCCAGTGCAGTCAATAATAAATATATAATTATGAAAAAAAAACAAAAGAAGCCAGTCACAAAGGCAGTACTATGACTCTCCTTATATGAGAGACTAAAAAACAGGTAAAACTAGTCTATGGTGTCAGAAGATTGGGTGCCATTGTGGGTTGAGTAATAAGATGGAAAGGGGCATCTCAGGATCTAGGTGGATCTAGGTGGTGGTCACACGGATGGGTTCAGTGTAGAATTGCATATATTTATGTTATAGGCATTTCCCACATGTGCACTACAGTTCATTTTTAATGCGAAAAAAACCCAACAGCATCTCTTCATTAAAAAATTCTTCAATATGGGACTTCTTTAACCTGAAACTACGAAATCAAATCAAATATCCTTATCAATGAGGAAATGTCAAAACAGATCCCTCTAAAATTAGGAATAAGAAAACTATGCCTTCTCTACCGCCACTTCTACTTGGTACTGGAAATATTCACCTGTACAATAAGTCAAGGAAAAGAAATAAATGGCATAAGGACTGGGACAGAAGACAAGATATCATAATTTATAGGAGATGGGAAGGGAAAACCCAAATGCATTCTTTTGGAAATCCAAAAGAGTCTACAGGTAAAATATTAAAGTTAGCAGTAAAATTACATAAGAGTGCAGAATGAAAAGTTGATAACACAATTCCATTGCATTTCTGTCTCTGCAACAAACATATATAAAATGTAGTTTTAAAAATGATTTTTTATTGTAACATCAATAAATATGAAGTGTTGATATATAAACCTCACAAAAATGAGGAATAATCTTTATAGAAATATTATAAAACTTTGTTAAAAGACATAAAAGAATTCCTAAAGAGTCGTAGAGAAATATCCTACTTATGCTTCAGAAGACTATATATCAAAAGATATCAGTTCTCCCCCAAACTGACTTAAGGGTTCCATATAACTACAAAAAAATTCTCACAATACTTTTTTGTGATTAACAAACTAGTTCTAAAATTTATTTAGAAATACAAATGCCTATAAACAGCCAAGATACTGCTAAAGAAGAAGAATATGGGGTCTCATCATGTCAGATATGAGTAATTATTATAAAGCTTTGGTAATTAGATCACATAGCTTTACACTCAAAATAATAGGTAGATGAAAGAACAAAAGACAGAACCCAGAAGCAAACCTATTCATAGACAGAAATTTTTTAAGAACAAGTTGGCACTGCAGCTTAGTAAGAAAAGGAACACTTTTTCAACAAATCTTGAGTCAAAATTGATTATCTATATGAAAAAATGACTTAGCCTCCTACCCCAAACCTTACAAAAGAAAACATTTCCAGATTGTTTAAAGATGTACAGACTTTCCTGGTGGTTCAGTGGTTTAGACTCCACGTTTCCACTGCAAGGGGCCTGGGTTCTATCCCTGGTCAGGGAACTAAGATTGTGCATGCTGGAGGCACAGCCGAAAAAAAGTAAAAAAAAGTATAAAACCTTTGATGTTCTGTTTCTCGATTTGACTGGTGACTATATTGGTATTCATTTTATTATTTTTTAATTGCATATCTGTATTTTCATGTTATAATATTTAATGTATCTTATGATAAATTTTTTTTAAAGCCAATCTACAACAAACAGGGAAAAAATGAGGGAGTTGGATAGGATAATACTTATGGATTTCTTCATGCTCTCATTCATTCATACAAGAAACATTTTGGGTATATTATGCAAGGTCCTAGGCATTCCAAGAACAGGAAATAAGCTGGTTCAGAGAGTCACTATGCAGTTCCAGAGCCCGCTGAGACCTCACGACACTCTGGCACCAGCCAGTTCCCAGCTTCACAGTGTCATTACAAGACTCCACTTTGTGTAAAACACAGCCCATTCACACTATCTACCAAAAACAAAACAATCCCCCCAAAGCAATCCATTCCCACCAAGAATTTACAAACATTACTGTACCTCTTCCTCCAAGGCTCTGCCACTCTCCTCCTCTTTTCTCCTCCTAATTTCTGTCCCCATCTTTGTCTTTGTTCTCAGGATCAACACAAATTCCTCCTTTGGCACAGCAGTTTGTTTCCTTTGCTCCCCCATCACTCAAGGGATGGGAGCTGACCGAGAGGATGTATGTGCCTACTTTAGGTCAGCTAAAGTGCAAAGAGTGTAGCAACGCCGTCAGAAAAGCACTTCTCTGGGAGACTTGGAGCCTGGGTTTGCATCCCAGGAGAGCCATCATGCTGTCCTGGAACTCTGGGAGAGTCACTATTCTTTAGTCCAGCGCTTCCACACTTTAACGTGCACACAGATCACCTGTGAAAGCGAAAAGTCGCTCAGTCATGTCCAACTCTTTGCGATCTAACGGACTATACCGTGGGTAGCCTTTCCCATCTCCAGCGGTTCTTCCCAACCCAGGGATCAAACCCAGGTCTCCCGCATTTCAGGCAGATTCTTTCCCAGCTGAGCCACAAGAGAAGCCCTCACAGATCACCTGGGAATCATCTTAAATGGCATGTCATGACTCAGCAGGTCTGAGCCCAAGATTCTGCATGTCAAACTGGCTCCCAAGCAATGCCAATGGGGTCAGTTTGCAGATCACATCTTGACAAGGGGTTAGGATCTTCATCTATAAAATGGGCACAAAGTCTCCATGCAGATGTTGTGATTTAATGAGATAATAAGCATGAATGTGCTTGGGAAATTTTGTAGCCCTTATGAATATGATGAGCTGGGATGTTCTAAGGCTTGTCCAATAAACTGATGGTAGGACCTCCCCCCCATACTTCCATTGCTTGACAATCTGAAAAACTACCCATACTCTGCCAATTTGGCAGCTGAGCCCTTCAGAAGTGTCAACTGACCAAGAAGACACACCAGCCCTCAATAAAGAAGTCCCTGGAGAAGAAGGGAACAACATCCGCTGAATCATTGAAAAAGCAAGAGGAGCTCCAGAAAAACATCTATTTCTGCTTTATTGACTATGCCGAGGTCTTTGATTGTGTGGATCACAATAAACTGTGGAAAATTCTTAAAGAGATGGGAATACCAGACCACCTGATCTGCCTCTTGAGAAATCTGTATGCAGGTCCGGAAGCAACAGTTAAAACTGGACATGGAACAACAGACTGGTTCCAAATAGGAAAAGGAGTACATCAAAGCTGTATATTGTCACCCTGCTTATTTAACTTATATGCAGAGTACATCATGAGAAATGCTGGGCTGGATGAAGCACAAGCTGGAATCAAGATTGCCGGGAGAAACATCACTAACCTCAGATATGCAGATGACACCACCCTTATGGCAGACATTGAAGAAGAACTAAAGAGCCTCTAGATGAAAGTGAAAGATGAGAGTGAAAAAGTTGGCTTAAAGCTCAACATTCAGAAAACTAAGATCATGGTATCCGGTCCCATCACTTCATGGCAAATAGATGGGGAAACAGTGGAAACAGTGAGGGACTTTATTTTCTGGGGCTCCAAAATCACTGCAGATGGTGACTGAAGCCATGAAATTAAAAGATGCTTACTCTTTGGAAAGACAGTTATGACCTACCTAGAAAGCATATTAAAAAGCAGAGACATTACTTTGCCAATAAAGGTCCATCTAGTTGAGGCTATGGTTTTTCCAATAGTTGTGTATGGATGTGAGAGTTGGACTATAAAGAAAGCTGAGTGCAGAAGAATTGATGCTTTTGAACTGTGGTGTTGGAGAAGACTCTAGAGAGTCCCTTGGACTACAAGGAGATCCAACCAGTCCATCCTAAAGGAGATCAGTCCTGGGTGTTCATTGGAAGGTCTGATGTTGAGGCTAAAACTCCAATACTTTGGCCACCTGATGGGAAGAGCTGACTCATTTGAAAAGACCCTGATGTAGGGAAAGAATGAAGGCAGGAGAAGAGGACAACAGAGGATGAGATGGTTGGATGGCATCACCGACTCAATGGACATGAGTTTGGGTAGGCTCTGGGAGTTGATGTTGGACAGGTAGGGCTGGCAAGCTGCGGTTCATGGGGTTGCAGAGTCACACACGACTGAGCGACTGAACTGAATTGAACTGGAGAAGGAGAGAGCAAATCAAGGATGTGATGTGGCAGCTGACAGATTTGCACAAGTGCCCAGCCACTTCCAGAGTTAATGGGGTGGGCAAAGAGTCTGCAGAAACAGGAAGTCCTGCAAGAGAGCAAGGAAACACACACACACATGCACACACACACACATATTATCCAAACCCAGAGAGGGACTCGTGGGTTAGTATCACATTTTCTCTAAAGGTCAGAAGCTCATTAACCCTTGGCAGATCCACAGAGAGCTGAGAACACAGCCCAGTAAAGATTAGGGCAGGTGCATGGAGGGGCAGATGGTGAGATGGAGCAGGTGAGCTCAGGACCACTTTGGTGCTAGAACTCAGGACCAGAGATGCTCCACAGCCCCATGAACCTTCTCACCTGCAGGGCCCTGGGTTCCACTTCCCACACTGGCCTGCTTCTCTCAGATGCTGCTCATTCTTGAGGGGGCAGCAGAGTGAGTCACCGGATGGAAGGTGTTTAACTGGCTTGCCAAAGTCACAGTGGAGTTGCTGGCAGAGCTGACTCCCAAGTCTCCAGCTCCAGGCTGTCCATCAGAAACGCAAGGGCAGGTTATCTGGGTGGCTCCGCTTCGGGATTATCAGAAATTGTCAGCACCTGAAGTGAGGAAGAATGTAAAAAGGACTAGTATTTGTTCAGCACCTACAGTGCTTCAGGTACAGGCTAAATGCTAACTAATTTATTCTCACAGCTCATGAAGATGATATTTCTGTTAATCAAATAACATCTATAAAGGTTCTAATATGGTGTATCATGAAGAAGAAAGTTTCTGCAAAATGTTTGGTTATTTGTCCTGCTGCCCCAAGTTACAAAGAATGCAACCCAAGAAGGTATAAGCAACTTAACCAAAAGTCACCTCTCTAAGTGGAGATTTGAGCTCAGGACCACCAGGCTCTATGTTCTGCATACTTTCCATTACGCTGTGCTGGAAAGGAAACAGGCTGGGCTCTGGTATAAAACAAATAACTCCTGTTTGCAAGGGGATTTGGGCAAGGTATTTCTCACCTGGATCTGTGATGGCCTAAGGGATCTTCCCATCTTTAGGTAAGAAGAGTGTACTGAGTTGTAGAGCATCCTGCCCCCAAATTCACACTCTTCCCAGAGTCCTAGAATGTGATCTTGTCTAGAAATCAGATCATTGCAGATGATATTCATTACAATGAGGTCATACTTGAGTAGGGTGGGCCTTTAATCCAATACGACTGATGTCCTCAGAAGAAGTGAACAGACACAGGGAGGATTCCCAAGGGTGACAGAGGCAAAGATGAGAGTGATGTGTCTACAAGTCAAGGAACAGCAAGACTTGCCACCGACCACTGGAAAGTAAGACATGGAATGGATTTTCCCCGAAAGGTTTCAGAGAGAACGTGGCCCTGCCTACATCTCGATTTTGGACGTGTGGCCCCTAGAGCTGAGAGAAAACACATTTCTATCATTTGAGTCACTGAATTTTTGGTAACCTGTCATGCAATCCTGGGAAATTAATACAAAAAGCACTTAAGAAATGTACAGAGTGACTAGTCTCAAAGCACTGCCATCATCACCTTGAGTCAAATGAAAAAAAAAGAACAAAACTACCTTTAAACTGTGAGACTTGAGGGAGGAAGGGACATTTTGGTCGACGCTGAATTTCCATCACATGCATAAATGTCTCTCGAGCATACACACTCACACGTACCCTCCCTCCCCTTCTTTCCGCACAGGCTATTTAGAGTGCCCACAATCCACTCAGTGGGGCTGCCCTAGCCTTTCTGGATGAGGTTGGGGGGGTCATTTTATCAGCAGCCACTTCCTGCACTACTGTGACATACTAGGGTTCAGGTGGGGTGACTCTTGCTAGGCGTTTTCAATCTCAGCTGGATTTAGAAGAATCATCCTTTGTCTATGTTGGCATTAACTCCTTAACCACATTCATCTTCCATAAATAAATAACAGTTACGGAATAAATAAGTGTCATGATTCTCATTATAAATCTATTTCTCAATCTTAGCTGTTTATAAAATTGTGTTGTCATTCAGTTGCTAAGATGGGTCCAACTCTTTGTGACTCTATGGACTGTAGCCCGCCAGGCTCCTCTGTCCACGGGATTTCCCAGGCAAGAATATTGGAGTGAAAAAAAGAAAAGAATATTGGAGTGGGTTGCCATTTCCTCCTCCAGGGGATCTTTCTGACCCAAGGGTTGAATCCGCATCTCCTGTGGTTCCTGCATTAGCAAGTGGATTCTTTATCACTAAGCCATCAGGGAAGCCCTTCTAGAATTTTAGGGGAATTTTAAAAACATCAGCGTCAGGATCCCACTCCAGACCAATGAAATCTGAATCTGAGTCTTTTGCAAATTCCACCATGTGATTCTCATGTGCAGCTAAAGTGGAGAACCACTGTTCTGGATCTTTGCGGTTGTAAATATAGTCCATGCACCAAAGCACTGACACCACCTGGGAGCTAGTTAGAAATGCGTACTCCTGCCCCACTCCAGATCCGACTCTGCATTCTGACAAGGGCCCAGGGGATCTGTGTGCACACTATATTCAAAAGCCCTGAGCAAGACTGACCCTTCCTTCACCTTGGATGAGAAGGAGAATTCCTTTGGCATCCAATACCAAGCCATTAACAAGCACAGGAGGTCCAGCTTTCCTCAGAGATGATGTTCAAGCTATTTCATAACAATGCTGGCCATTGAGATCTGGGATAGCAGCAGTGTTGAACTCTGGCTGAATGTCGATTGCAGTCTTACTATTAATATTCTGGTTCTTAGAGTTTCCTGTCTTGGCTACTGTGATTGCATCTCAACCTCCAGGGCCTTTCTGGCAGGGGAGAGGTGGGGAAGGCTGCAGCAGGCACGACTGGGGTGGCTTCTTAGCTCCCAACTGTTCTGTTGCTTTTGGAAATAGTGTCAGCATGCAGGGGCAGAGTTCTCACTGGCTGGTGGCAGGGGTGAATTAACTACATCTTTCTTTCAGATTCTAAACAAATTCTAGAAATACAGACAGAATTTTTAAATAATGCCATTTTAGCACATTTGGGCAAAGCTAGAATGGAGGACACGGGTTTATTGAATGGATGAACCCAGGAGGACGGTAGCTGAAAATGACATTTTCTCTCCAACCGCTGTCCCTGCCAACTGTACTGCTGAAAGCTGACTCATCCCTCCTTACATAGATGACTGCTCAGACCCCACATCTTTCTGAGTCACACTTGGGTGTTAATACCTTTTTTTAAAGGTATTTTTTAAAAGTCCAGCCCAATAAAATATCAAAGCATTGACCTCTTACCCACCCAACAGTCCCTGGTCCTCCAGCTGGGCCTCCTTCCAAGGAAACTGGCCTCGGGGAGGTGGGAGAGGGTGGCTTCTCCTCCTTGTCCTTCCCTTCTTCTCCCTCCCTCCTCACTCTGCTCCCCCCGTTCCGCCAGGGCCGGGCTGGGCTGGGCAGGCAGGCAGGGTGAGGAGCAGAAAAGGCATATCATGGCTGTTCTGGGAACAGCCTGGCACTGAGGTCCTCTGGCAGTGCCCGAGGCTGCCTCTTTCCTGTGGAGCATCTCTGTGGGTTTTTCAAGGAACTCCCGTCACTGATCTAGGTGATACACTCTAAGCCTGGCTGCTACCCCCGCATTTCCCATGGACTTCCCTGCTGGCTGTCTTCTCGGGTAGGATGCTCCCAGGACAGTGAAACTCTGGGTTCCCGTGGTCAGGGTTCATCTCTGGCCCTGAGAAGCTCAGGGCCCCCTTCTGGGAAGGGCAGGTCTCTCCCAGGTGGCCCACCTCTGGTTCTACTGCATATGCACCTCACCTCAAGGACTTCACAAGGCGGCTACCACCAGGTCCGAGAAGACTACCAGTCCTGGCATCTCCAGATTCCGAAGACACAGCCTGGTTCTCCAAGTGATTCTCTTGAACGTTTCCTTCACGGGCTTCAAAGGCCACAGGAGCAGAAGGGGGTGGGCCCCGGAAAGAGGAGGGAAACACTTCAGGCTCCCTGCCCTCTCTTTGTAAACACATCCTCTCCGTCCACTGCAGGGACCATGGACACCCAGGCCCACGTGCCTCCAGCAGGCCTCTGAGGTTCCTGCAGGACCAGCTCTTCCTCCCTCTGCCTCTGCCTCAAGGCTGCAAGTCCTGGGACTTAACAACCTAGGGGAAATGCTCAGTCAGTGAAGGATGGGGTCAGCGACAAGATCCCTGGCTCCCAGTTGTGGATGGAACAATCGTGAGGTTAGTTCTGCACAGTCTCTCAGACCAGGGCAGGGGCTCGGACAAGGTGAGAGAGGCTCCAGGATGCAAGATTTAAGGTGGCACCTACCAGCGTTGTGCGAGAGTGGGTCCCTCCTTAATCTGGCACCCCAAGGGCCTCATCCTACTCCTGGCCCCATCTCGGAGGGTCCCTAGCGGGATGGAGCCCTGGGTGCTCACAGGAGATCCTACTCAGTAACGTCTGGGTCAAGTTCCTCCCTTCAGACCTGAGGTAGGAGATACACAGGCCCCCAGCTGAGCAATTACAGCTGGTCTCCTGCTGATGCTTCAAGACGGGAGGCCAGCGGGAGCACTGTGCCCAGATGGGGTGCATTCTTGTGGGGTTTCCTGGCCCGACACACACCCAGAGAAGGCCCTCAGTCTAGGCGGAAGGACAAAAGGAGGGAGAAGAGGTCAGCTGGAATCCATCTTGGCTGAGAGATGCAAGCCCATACCAGGACCAAATATGAAGATGACTGGTCAGAAAAAAAAAAAAAGCAGAAAATTACCTCGATTTAAGCAACCTAAGCTGGCCCCGTTGCACATAACTCACTCTGAGTTCAGCTGCGTGTTCTTTTACATGTATTCTGCTTCTTTTCATAAACACCTTTATCTTTTCACAATCTTGGTCTCTTTGCTGAATTCTTCCTTCAGAGAAGACAAAAACGAAGGTCCTTCCTTTTAGTTTTTCACCACCGGTATCAGAACCACCTCCCAATAAACTACTTGTACCCTCGTCTCAGGTTTGCTTCTTGGGAATCCAAGACCCTTTCCTGTTTCTGCGTATCAACTGTCAGCCTCATCTCTGTCTGCCACTGAAGTGGTGTGAGGGAAGTTCACAGGACTGGGTGTTTTATAGCCAATCTTGCCTTTAGGCTTCAGTCTCCCTGGCCATAAACCTTCTCCTCCCTGGCAGGAGCCCCCTCTTTCCCTCTGGTTCTGAACCTGTCAGGCTGCCAGCAGCACCAACAAACCCAACAGATGGGACAGTCCTGGCAACACTGGAACCCTGTTTCCAGCTGGGAACAGAATGACGTCATAGGTGGTCTTCCTTCAGGCCTTTTAGGGCTTTCCTTGTAGCTCAGCTGGTAAAGACTCTGCTTGCAACACGGGAGACCTGGATTCAATCCCTGGGTTCAATCCCTGGGTTGGGAAGATCCCCTGGAGAAGGGAAAGGCTACCCACTCCAGTATTCTGGCCTGGAGAATTTCATGGACTGTATAGTCCATGGGGTTGCAAAGTGTCGGACACGACTGAGCGACTTTCACTTCAGGTTTTTTTTTTTTCCAGGTTTTTAAATAAATGAATTTCAGTTGTGCTGGGTCTTTGTTGTTGTATGGGCTTTTCTCTACTTGGGGCAATCGGGGGCTATTATCTAGTTGCAGTATGCGGGTTTCTCATTGCAGTGGCCTCTCTTGTTTCAGAGCACAGGCGCTAGGGTGTGTGAATTTCAGTATTTGTGGCACAGTGGCTCAGAAATTGTGGCTCCCAGACTCTGGAGCACAGGATCAGTAACTGTAACACAAGGGCTTAGCGGCTCTGTGGCAAGTGGGATCTTCCTGGACCAGGGATCCATCCTGTGCCTCCTGGCAGGTGGATTCTTTACCACTGAGCCATCAGGGAAGCCCTTCCTTCAGCTTTAAGAAAGAAAAGCCCACAAACTCCCCTCCCCCGAAATTAACCTTAATGATTGGAAACACCCCAAATGCCCAATAGTAGAAGGTTAAATTACAGTATATCTGTACAGTGGAATATACATGGGCATTCAAAATGATGTGAAAGGCGTTCAGTCGTGTACGACTCTTTGTGACTCCAAGGACTGTAGCCCACCAGGCTCTCTGTCCATGGGATTCTCCAGGCAAGAATACTGGAGTGAGTTGCCATTTCCTTCTCCAGGGGATCTCAACCCGTGGATCCAACCCGGATCTACTGCATTACAGGCAGATTCTTTATGTCCAAGCCACCAGGGAAGCCCTTCAAAATGATATTGTACCTCTACTCTTACTGATGCTGATGAATTTTCATAACACATTAAATGATACAAAGATTAAAAAAAAAGAAAGAAGCCTACAACAGACACGTGGGTTGAGACTGGAAGGAGAGTTTTCACTGAGATTTCAGGGCTCTGCCTTCAGTTTTCTCCTTCCTGGCCTTTCTGCTCCCACTCTGCAGTTGCTCTGGCAGCCTCAAGTTCTGACCTGCCCAGAATACGACAGAAGTAGGCACATCCCCCCATGTCCTCATGTTGACTCACGAAATAGGGCCATGATCTGGAGACTGGGGGAGCAGAGGAGAAAGTGTGGGAAGAACTTACACCTGAGGGAGGATGTGGGCTTGGGGTCTAGAAGGTGACACCCTGTTAGGGAAACGAAATGGTCTCGTTTAGGCTTCACAGACGAAGCAGAGCAGGCCTCTGACCTTGCTACTAACCTCCCTGGACACTGCCCTGACTGTGAGTGACTGACTGCTTGCTGTGAGTGGAAGCCTTGCAAGCACCATAGATAGAGGCTGAATCTTGAGACCGTTGAGCCCCGGGAGGTGTCCTGGCCAACCAAGTCCCAGGCTTAACAACATTCCAAGTTTCATAAGACAAAACAAACAGCACTAACAGGAAACCAGAGCTGTTATTTGCTCACAGATTGATGATATCAGTTTGCGTCCTGGGATTAAAAGTGGGAGCCCCCCCAAAAATAAATAAATAAATAAATAAAAGTGGGAACCCCAAGGTGCAGTCTTTGAAGTCTCACCCATGGAGCGGATGCAATGCTTGGGTCCTTTTCCCAACTGGGACTCCAGACGTGCTGTGTCACGGGGACTTCCCAGTGCTGTTTGAGTCTGAATGCTGGTCAAAACCCAATTTGGTGATGTATCCTCTCAGTTCAGTTCAGTTCAGTCACTCAGTCGTGACTCTGCGACCGAATGGACTGCAGCACGCCAGGCTTCCCTGTTCTTTACCAACTCCCAGAACTTGCTCAAACTCATGTCCATCAAGTCAGTGATGCCATCCAACCATTTCATCCTCTGTTGTCCCCTCATCCTCCTGCCTTCAATCTTGTCCAGCTTCAGGGTCTTTTCCAGTGAATCAGCTCTTCACACCTGGTGGCCAAAGTATTCGAGTTTCAGCTTCAGCATCAGTCCTTCCAGTGAATATTCAGGACTGGTTTCCTTTAGGATTGACTGGTTTGATCTCCTTGCATATGTATCCTCTGTTGTTTCTATTTATCTTTTCTTTTAATGTTAGTATATTGAAAGTAAGCTAGATAATCCTCTAACAAACATTTGTATTATTTATTTGTATAGAACGAGTGGCTTATTTTGTTAACAAATCCTTTGAACCTGAGACAAAAGGGAAAACTTTCAGCAAAACACATGTGCAATTACGATTTTGTAGAACAGGAGGAATCCAGGGAAGGGATCATTTTAGAGTTTGGGTGTGATGTTAGTGCTACACCAAGAAAACCAATTTCATCTCAGTGTCTGCTTTCTTGGGTCACTACCGGCCTCATCTGTTGCAAGTTGGGTTCCCCAGAAGGAGCTCTGAGAGGAAGATGAGGGTGATTACATTGATTAAGGGGTGCCCTTGAGGTCAACATCTGTGGGAGGGAGAGAAGGAAGGCAAGAATTGAGGAGACGGAGAGGTGAAACTGTGAAAGCCTCAGCTCATGCCCCCACCCCACCTCCCCCAGGAGCTCTGCCACTGGAATGACCCTTCTGAGATGCCTCAACTTGGGTTGAGAAAGTCAGGCCTTTAGAACCTGGTATAGGCCAGTCATTGGATGCAGGCTGGACCTTTAGCTGAACAATTTCTGAGACTGCCAACAGCAGGGGGCCACCTGCCCACAGCACTCCCAGAAGCTGGGGGAATAGATCCTTCAGTCTGAAGGGAGACCAGGGCACATCCCAACCGAGTCCTTTGGACCTGTGTCCATCTCCTCCACCAGACAAGCTCCTTATGAAACACAGCAGAGGGGACAGCTCAGGGACCACCTTCTCCTCTCACAACAGACCTAACAATAATCACGCCTTGGGCCACACTTATTGGTCGGTGGGCAAGCTGCTTCCTCCAACTTCAAGGAGCCTGCATTCTAAGAAAATCAGCTCTGGTGCTGGCATGCAGGTAGGGGTCTTTGTCAAACAGAGAAAGTCACTATTACTGTGCCCTTTTGAAGTACTGGCTCCACTTCTGGCTGAGCTGGCTTGTGGGCCTGGTTTTCTCAGGATGAGAAACTGAAGGAGGGGTCAGGGGAGAAAGAGGAGGAGGATGGCTGAGGCCCAGAGTGGTGAAGGGCAGGAAGGTAGATGGGGGCAAAGAGACCAGGAAGGCACCAGTAAAAACAAGACCAGCATCGGAAAGAGGACCAAGGTCTGGGGAGCAGGAAGGAGGCTGATTCAGGGACCCTCCTGCCATCTCTCTCTCACACTTGCCTAACCGAACCTCAGCACTCCTAAGCCCACCTGTCTGTTCCACACAGTAGCTCCTGGTTGAAGTACGCATTATCTCCTGCCTGGGGCTTCTCATGTGGCTCAGTGGTAAGAATCTGCCTGCCAGTGCAGGCGACATAGGTTTGAACCCTGGGTTGGGAAGATCCCCTGGAGGAGGAAATGGCACCTCACTCCAGTATGTCTTATCGGGAGGATCTCATTGACAGTGGAGCCTGGTGGGCTGCAGTCCAAGCGGTTGCAAAGAGTCAGACACGACTGAGCACCCATATGAGCACCTGCTTGTTGCACTTAGCTCCTGATGATAAGACTCAAGCAGACTCTCCTTATTACCAGGCTATTCTACTCAATGTCCCCCATACACTCAGCCTCCCAGCCTCCAAAACAACCATTTCACCCCATACCCGGTCCTCACTCTCAGCCAGTTGCCTTGCTTCTTGGCTTCCCCTGTGGCTCAGCGGTAAAAAATTTGCCTACAATGCAGGAGACACAGGAGATGCCAGTTGGGATCTGATCCCTGGGTTGGGAAGATCCCCTGGAGGAGGATATGGCAACCCACTCCAGTATTCTTGCCTAGAGAATCCCATGGACAGAGGAACCTGGCGGGCTACAGACCATGAAGTCTCAAAGAGTCAGACATGACTATGCAACTGAGCATGCCCTGTACACCCTAATTTCACTGAAAAACTAGAATCAATCAAAATGGCTATTTTGGCGGCAGGGCCTGGGCAGCCAGAGCAGCACAGACCTCAACTCTGGGCCCCAGGCACCATGTGAGGGGGACTTTGGGGCTGAGGGGAGCTGGCACCCTCCAGGGGAGGTGTGACCCCACACCCCTACCCTCTGGGCCATCTGCAGGATGCCAGCCTCTGCCCCACAGCAGTCACCAGAGAGAGATGAGTAACAACCAACAGCAGTGGTCAGCAGTGTTCGTGATCCTCTTTGCCCTCATCACCACCCTCATCCTCTGTAGCTCCAACAGTGCCAGTGAGGGCTCTCATTACAGCTCCCTGTGGGGCCGGATCTGCCAGCTGGTCAACCTCAAGAAGTGGAGCATCACTGACGGCTACATCCCCATTCTCGCCCACAAGACACTGCCCTCCGGTGCCACCAATGTGATTGTCACCAGCTCCAGCCACCTGATTTGCTAGGTACCAAACTGGGCCCTGAGGTCAAGCAGGCTGAATGCACAAGGTGCATGAACGACACACCCACCACAGGCTACTCAGACCACCTTGTGGGTAACAAGACCACCTTCTGTGTAGTGGCCCATTCCAGGGTATTCCGTGTGTGGTGGAGACTCTAGTTCATCAACCAGACCTCCGAAACCCTGTTCATCTTCTGGGGTCTCCCAAACAAGATGCAGATGCCCCAGGACAGCCTGGTGTGCGTCATCCAGCGAAGCAGGCCTGGTGTTCC